TATATATATATATATATATATATATATATATATATATTAAAAGAAATCGGTATTTAGCAGAGGCCCAAATACCGATTTACCATAAGCTAGGCCCTATGATGAGTGTCTGCGCCATGTGCCTAAATATTTGAGAACTCAGCGCCACTCGGAATCGAACCCGTGCCTGAAGGCACTTACTGTGAACCTGCCAACCAACATGCTTGGGCATGTATGTATGTATGTATGTATATATATATATATATATAAAGAACACCTGGAGGCTATTAGATGAGGCCCAACCATCCCTAGGTGTGCAAAATATTTGAGGACTACATCCTACACACAAGGGAATCGAACCAGTGACCTGAGGAGCCTTACGAATTTCGAGACTGCTCTGCCAACAGACCACGAAACACGCGTGAGCGAGAGCACACACAAATAGATAGATATATAAATGTATGTAGAGACAGAAGTGATGAGTACAGGATATAAAAGGTGGTACCAACATGGCATCATCCGACCAACTAATTTATGAGATATTGCTTCAATTCCCACAAACTTCCCACAAAATTTGTAGTCCCTAACTTCAGAGACATTATCATATATCAAGAACTCAACAGAAACTGCATGGCACTCTTACAAAGCAAGTACTTGAATAAGACAATCATTTTTAAAACTTTTATAGCTAATTTACAAAACAAAGCCTTTCTAGATGCACGTCTTATTTTACAAAACTACAAAGAATAATACATTCCTATAAGAAGAAAAACATAGAGAAGCGCAGCATTCATTCAGCTACTGAAGCCCATGGCAACCACGGGAATCCTTACAAAGTGCCCTTTGTCACCTTTCAGAAGTACCTCACCAAAGCTGTATCTACCTGTCACAGAACGCACCGTTAGGCTCACCCAAATCGCCTTGGACGAGCCGGCAAGGACCGTCATGGCAGGAGGATTGGCATCAAGGGCAATCTCTGGTGACATTCTGGTGGAGATGACATAGGTCTCGGTCTCAGCCACGTTGGTAACTGTGCGCTTGACAGTCTGGGTTCCCACTAAATGAGAAATTGTGATGGATGGGGTGTTGAGATCAGAGGGTTTGCCATGAGTGGCATTGCATTGTGAGCTTGTGATGTTTGAGACCTCTTGTGGATCCACACCCGGTATTGAGCACAGGAAGTTTATGTAGTCCAAATATGCTGATAAAGATAAATGATGTTACAGAATCAAGACATTCACAAAGAATCTCAATTCAATGTAACTTGGATTTGATCCAGAAAACCATTAACTTCCTAGATTTTATTACATGGTAAGGTGTAATTAGAAATGACCATGGCTTCTAAATTCAGAAAACTACTTGAATGTATTGCAATGATGGAATTTTCATAGGAGAGCATAAAATCATTTTCTTAAACTTTATTTTAATATATACAAGCAACTAAGTGGACCAACAGGTATAAAAGAAAAGGATTAGTACGAGGAATTAACCAACATTTAGAATTTTTGACATTAATATTTCAGCAAAACTAATATTTGACAACAGCCATGGTAGACTGAAAAGCAATGACCGTTTATGACGATTTAAGACCAAAACGCAATGGTACATAGCACGCAATTCTAATTTATTTACATAGCTCGCACCTAATGTTTCATATTTACACACACAACACTCAAACCTTTAATATCACATAAAAAATAGCACTACTTTCATTTTTTGAAAGTATAACACACATTTTCATGCATGTGTTTAAAGCACCAAAATGCTATATATATAAATACGGATGTTTAGGCTTGAGATATGTAAATACATAAGAATTGTGTGCTACGTATGTAAATTTCTCTATTATTTATGCCTTCATGGAGTTTGATGGCTTACATGCATCAAGGATGAGCCCAGGGTCGAGAGCAGCTTTTGGATCAACTTCACCGCTCCCATAATCAAAGGGTGTTGCTGGAGAAAGCATCAATATTTCTGTATCCGAGTATTGCTGCGCTTGAAGAGGCCGACCAGCTCGGTCCATCGTATTAGCTGTCGTCATTAAAGCTGACTTGATAGCAGCAGGGCTCCAATGTGGGTATTTCTGTTTCATGAGTGCTGCAATTCCAGCAATATGAGGGGTGGCCATGCTTGTACCAGATACCATGGCAAAACCTTCCCCTGTTAAGGTCAATGAGATATTATTTATAGATAAGTATTTTAATATGATGGTAAGAGGAAGTCAAAGACCAAAGGTTGTTCATGCATCCCTTAAAATGGGAAGCCAAAGAAAGGAAGAATGAGTTGCAGAAAAAACTTCACCAACTAGGAAGGTCAACAATTATTGGGGCTTAAGAATACATTGAAATGCTTATTAAATGGAAAATTGTGCATGTTGATGGTATTTATGAAGTCAAATTTTACTGTAAAAATAAAGAGAAATTAGCTTTTACCCAGCAAATAAAAGTAGCGTGTGGGGTAAATTTCAAAACGTAGATTAATCTGGGGAGTGCTGTTGGTTCGACTAATTGCATTACGAAAGTTCAATGCTCTAATTTTTAAGATTTAACATCTCAAAAATTTATTTGAAGGATTAAAATATGGACAAAACATGCTAAAATGTTATTTTTCAACCGCTGCCACTAAAAACTATTGATTGTGAACTTTCCTACCTTCATAGTTGGCCTCATCTGTTCCATTTGGTGCCCAGGCAGCCCAGATGAGAGAACCTGGAGCTAAAATATCAGGTTTGAGAACATCTGCATCTTCAAAGCTGAAATCCTTTACATCTGGTCCTCGAGAAGAGAATAATGCCACCTGGGGAGCAGAATTATGAAGTATTGGGGCCAAGCCATCCGCAATGCTAGCTGTAGCATAGAAACCTGTTGGCCGCCCAGCCCAATCTCTTTTGGTCGAACAGTTATAGTAGTTTATAAGCTCCTGCGGTAAAATATTGGAGAAGTAATTAGTTAAACATATGTCATGACCAAAAGACCAAAGTCTGATACAGATTGTTCACTTGAAAAAAAAAAAACAATAAAAGTAGAAAAACAATCCAATTGAGCTAAGTACCCTTGTCTGGCTGACATCAGTAATCAGAATCCCGGGAAGAGAAACGGGAACAGGATCATATTTAGTTCCTGGATAGCTATTCTCCACAGCTACAACAAAGCCAGCTGCTCCAAGACTTTTGGCAGTTTGACAGATTTTCTTAATTGATGCTGCGCCTGAAACAAAATTGAAAGAATATCCACAAAGAAGGATTTTCCCCTCCAACAGGTTCTTATTAAGTAGCTCTGGTCTCTGGCAGTCCAACGGATTGTACTTCATGACAGATGAATCCAACAGCACATCACTCACAGATACCAGGTCAAACGATTTATTTGCATGAGTGGCAGCTGCATTTAGATAATAAGATATTTTAGAAATAAAAAGGAACCTTTGCATGGCTGGTTATGAGAAATGGGAGTGCTAAGAAAACACCTAAGCTAGCAAGAAAGAGCATCAACCATACTACAACGTTCTAGACTACAATGCATACGAACATGAAACTTAATTTTTTTAACTTTTACTTCTTTTAATTGTACCAAGCCAGACGGTCTTAATGGGAGAGTTGCTATATATGAAGGCCTATCTTTCTTCTGAAAGGGTGACCAATGTAGAACTTCGAGCTCAAATTAATCATGAAAGTCTCACTATACGGTCAAGATTGTCGGCGTTTAAAAAGGGGGGAGTTACGTT